CTTTATTTAGTAATTGATTCACAGATTTGCTTGCTTTCAAGTTGTGATTTTCTGTTATTAATTTCTTCTTTTCATATATTAATCTTTTAATACGTTTTAATAACATCCGTTTTGATTTTTCCTGTTTTTCAATTACAACATTCGCGTGCTCCAGTTTCAATTGTAGTTCTTTAGCGTCCAATGTTTGGGCTGTTTACAAATTGTTTTCTTTATTTATACACTTTTCCTCTAACTCAATATTGTCCACTAACTTAATTGTCAGTACTGTTCACTAATTCAGTATTTTCCACTAATTCGATAGGCTCCGTTAATTCAGTAAAAATATCTTTATGTTCACTTTCTTCTAGTTGAGGACGATCTTCAGTCTACAATAGATAGTCAATCATTAGTTATGAACTTAATAATGTACATTTTTACATACGAACACATTTCAATCATCTTTATATTATACTTACATTTATAGCGGCAGAACATTGTCTATTATTATTTGACACTACGTTTTCTTGCTTTTTTGGGAAAATTGTGGGAATGGCAGTACTTTTCAATTTTTGTTTGCCGTTTACTCGTGGTTTTTCCCACATATTAGCCTCAAAATGAATCTGTTCCATATTTCAATTATTAATGCATTTGTATAATATATAGTGTAACTAAAACATATACATATAATATACTTACATTACATACATAATATTCCTTTGCAGGATCTAAATCAAGTCTTCCTATATTTTTGATCCACTGCTCTCTTCTTTCATAATTTGTAGGAAGATGATGCATTGTGTTGCCTCGTTTCCATGAGTTGCCACACTTTATGCAGCAGTACGGCATTTTATCTGTAATACAGAAAATTATTGTCATGATATTTTTATATTCATAAAATTCATAAACACTATTCATAAATATTATTCCATTTTCTATTATATATTTATAACACATTAAATTTTCTATTAGAACGTGAATCATATTTACATATCTTTTTCTCTTTACGTATAATTTCAGTAATTTATATTTATTATAATACTATATTTATTATAATACTATAGTATTTTGTCATATTTATTACTTACTCTTTTTTAATATAATCGATATACATATAAGCACGAACTTATTCTTTCACAATGCGGACTTATTCTCTTTCAATATTTCATTGAATACTGTTGACTGCTGATAGGTTATTTTCGTTGCACTAGTGCAGAAGAGCAGGAAAAAACGCACAGGTAAGTGTCCGCCATTTTTAGGGGCTCTGACCAAGATCGCCGAACTCTGTATTCTAGGGACTCTAATGCTGACAAGTTCGGCCATTTTGAATGTTCAGTTAATTTTTGACAGCTATTTTGCTTGGACGTGTTTTGGGTCGTCTTCGATTTTTGCCTATTCCAAGAAATGGATCAAAGAATATGTATCAAATTTTGTGTGAAAAACAAAATTAAGTGCGCGGACGCATTCCGAATGTTGACTGTGGCATATGGTGAAGCTACCTTGAACCAAAGCAACGTTTATCGGTGGTACAAAATGTTCTCAGAGGGCCGAGAAGATGTGAACGACGAAGAGCGTGCCGGACGCCTGAGCACGTCAATAACAGACGAAAACATTGATGAAGTGAAGAAAATTAATAGTATTGACCAATCGTCGAATCACCGTTAGAGAAGTTGCTGAGAACCTAAACATATCGATTGGCTCGTGCCATTCGATTTTTACCAATGATTTGGGCATGAGACGGGTCGCCGCGAAATTCGTACCAAAATTGCTCACTTTCGACGCGAATTTTTGGCCAAAAACAACACACTAATGATGCCGCAGCCACCGTATTCTCCAGACCTGGCCCCCTGTGACTTTTTCTTGTTCCCGAAACTGAAGAGGCCCATGAAAGGACGACGCTACGCCACGATTGAGGAGATAAAGACGGCATCGAAGGAGGAGCTGAACAAGATCACAAAAAGGATTTTTTGAAGTGCTTCGAAGATTGAAAAAAACGTTGGCACAAGTGTATAATATCTGATGGGGATTACTTTGAAGGGAACAACATAGATATTCATGAATAAATAAATAATTTTTGAAAAAACACAAAATTCGCGATACTTTTTGAACAGACCTCGTAAGAAACAAAAAAATTGTACCTAAAATTACACAAATAAGTAAGGATATTAAAAACAATATATTACAAACTTGTAATGGACTAGATGCATATTGAGGAAAAATACGTTTTAGATTAAAAGTGACGATAATGTTATCTGAGTAATTTAATTATAAAGTTGAAAGGGCGGATATACGTGAAGAGGCACGAGAGCAAATTCTTAAGCTACAAGAGGTGAACCAGAAACACTTTGATAAACGACGTCGTTCTGCCACCCAATACCAGGTAGGAGATTTAGTAGTAGTGAAACGAACTCAACATGGGCCAGTGCTGAAATTAAAACCTAAATATTTGGGACCTTACCGAATTGTAGGAGTTAACAGCAACGGCACATATATCGTGGTTCGAGAAGAAACGCACGAGGGCCCCAGGCACACGACCACCTGCGCTGAATATCTCAAACGTTGGAGAAATTCGGAATTATCATCCGAGTTGGATAATGTATGTACATACATACAGGAGGGCCGAATGTGGGAAATCGATTTAAACGATCCCACCAACAATCTCGGTGCGCTGGGATCGTGGACAACAGAAGGCAGTAGAGGGGATGAGGAAGAAGGGAGTCCGAGCGCTTACGCAAGAAGAGAGTTAGTTAGGAGAGAGTTAACAAAGAGATAAGACTGTAGACGTTTCACATATTATACTGTGAGGTTGATTCTAATTTGTCTCAATACTTCCACCTTTCCTATATTATTAACATTGTAGGATACTAATAATCAAATTTCGCCATTTTTAATACATAACAGATTAACGAAGCAATCATAGTTCATAGACTGTTTTTATTTAATTTGATTTAATTACATTTTATTATTTAAATTTTATAATATGTACATACATATATATTTTATTTGATATATACAATGAAATAAAATATCAATATCAAAAAATATATCAATAATTAGTATTATTTGTTCAGGTAATACAAAATTATTTCTCAATGTTAATTACTCTTCTGTTTTGCTATATAAGATTTCTTATAAAAATCATAAAATAAATAAAGAAATATAAATATATTTACAGTAAAGAGAAACAGCACTTCTCTTGGCGCTTCGCAAGTGAAAGACTGCAGTAGCAGAGATAAGAAATACACAAATTGTGCCTAAAATTTCAGAAACAAGTAAAGATATTAGAAACAAAATATTACAAACTTGTAATGGGCTATGTAGATGCATATTGAAGAAAAATACGTTTTAGATTAAAAGTGACGAGAATGTCACCTGAGTAATTTAATTATACAATATTGTATTGATACTTGCCATCTGTAGAATAGTTATAAATCGTTTAATGGGATATATCATCCGTTGGAGATTTGGACTGCATGCAGCGATGAAATAGTACATGTACATGATTACATGCACAATACAATTGACTATTATGAAAGGCGAAATTCTTATATCCATAAAGTATTTTAAATTAATCCACAAAAATGTTATATTAGATACATGATGATACACGTGCAAACCAGAGACCTGGTTTTGTTTCTTCCTCACCACAAACATGCAAGTTTCGATGTAATCAAACATTTTCAATAAGAGTATCCACCACGCCACTTTAAAGAACTGAAATATAAATTTGATATGTATATACGGGATGTTGTATCGAAAAACGAGAGGTCTGAGGACATTTTGTGGTTAGAAAAAGTTACTGTGCTCGTCTGGCACAATCCGGCACAATTTAGAAAAGTTCAAAAATGTAAAATTTTTTCTCACCCCCCATCGCTTTTGACCCACGTTTTTCAACCCCTGCAATTTTCGATTCTTTTCTGGCCCGTTTCCTGTTGTGCTCGACTAGTAAACTCAGTAGTGCTTCAAAAAGTTCGATAAGTGCGTAAAAAGTATAGTTATGCATTATTTTGTATTTGGGTTTCTACATTTTTTTTCTACTAAATGAAAAAAAATATCGAGTTTTTTCCAACGGCACAACATGGCACAAATTATTGCCTGTCTTTAAAAAAATTGAGCTTGTTTGGCCAAAAATGCGGGGCTAGCATAATTTCTTTTTTATTTTTTATTATTATTATTGATGTTATCGATCTTTCGTTTGCGGCACAAGTCAGCACAAACAGCACAATGCAGCACAATTGAGAAAAATGCAAAATTCGAAAAATGCGGGGCTAACTTCACACACGTCGGGGTGTCAGACTCATTAGTAGCAAAACTAAAAATTGGGTAGATTGGGATAAACTGAGAAGAAAAGTAATGTGCCGTTTTACAAAATTATATATACAATTGATCGATGAGCGAGAGGCAGAGCAACATCGCGCCGAAAAAACGTTGTCAACAGAGGCTTGCCGCTGGCTGATCACGCGGTGCGCCATGATAACTTTTTTTCGGCGCAATGTTGCTCTGCCTCTTGCTCATCGATCGATCCGGCCTACCGAGTCTGGCCGTTTCCTACACGTTCATTCGTCCAGACGTTTCAATTAATTATTCGAAAACTATAGGAAATTTTACAAACTGGTATATAACTTTTCTTTTCAGTTTATCCACCTCTATCTGAATATGAAGTCATGGGCACCTTATCCCTAACACCCTGTATACAGGGTGTCCGGAAAATCTCCCGCAATACTTCGGAAGGTGATGTGTGTGTGAGCGCGCGTGTGTGTGTACAAAGTTGTTATTATTAAAATAATAACGTAGCTTAATGATAACTATTTGTTAAAATAATAACGTAGCTTAATGATAACTATATTGTTAAAATATACTTTAGGTCCAGCAGTGCTGCTTGCGTAATGTATCCAACAGTTCTTAACGATTAATTCTGTCATAAAGACAAAACAACCGGCATCAAACAGCATGTTTAGAATGTATAAGTTAGCCAGAATTTGAATTAAGTCGTAAATTAATATATAGGTTCTCAATTTATATGGCGGTCGACTTTTCATGTAGCGAGGACCAGCATAAAGAACAAAATACAAATATCCCACAGTTATTAGCAGTATTGGAAACGGCGAGGATGCAAACAACCAATCACGACTTACTGGGTCTGCAAAAATATGATCTTTTAAATACCGTAACCAGTTTTTCCCCACGTTCACTTTTCGATAAAACTGTGTTATCAGTGTATTTTAAAGTATACGATATTATAACGGTCACTGTTTTAGTAATGAATAAACATTTCTTATAACCTATTTTATTTTGATACTACTATGATTTTGATAGATAAAAAATTGTCTGTATTATAAAATACGAAATAATAAATGATATAAGAGCCAAGGCAGGATGTTAACGTCTAAATTATTTTAATTTTTAAATTTATTACGAAAATGTCCCTCAGCTAGGTTTTAAACCTGGACCTTCCTCTCACTACCCATACAGAACATAAATATCTATTAGATATCCAATGAATATCCTTGACGGATATCAGGGATATCCACGAATATATAAGAGATATCCATTAGACGTGCATTAGATATCCAAATGTCCGCAATACGAGATCTAATAGATATCCATACGATATTTATGCCAATATCCATTAGACATCCATATCAGTATCTAGTGGATATTTATATGTATAGATGTTCCATAGATATCCATTTCATGTATTTTTATATTAATATTTCTTCGATAATTTTAATCAATGTCTATTAAGGTATGTAGCAGTGTATTGAAAGCATTTACTGTTTTTGTTTCTCCTAAGTTTTGAATGTCATATAAAACCTGAGGATATTACCAACTACTTGATAAGGACCACAATACGGATGGTCGAAACGTAGTGAATGCAAAATTTCCCAACTAACGTTTCTGCCAGTTGGATCGACTGAACATTCCAGATATTGATATTCACATTTGTCCATTAAAAAACTTTTCGTTTATAATTAGTTACAAAAAGCTGTACGCAGTTGTGTAAAAATATGTATGAAATTTGTTCATATATAACTACATATGATATGTGTTTCAAATTCTGCTCGCTTTGTCAGCAAAGATAATGTTGGATTGATTCGTGGGCTCGCCTTTTATATTAATGCAGAATGATTTTTAATTACGAGAAAGTGTAACGTGCGATTGCCGCGTCGCGGCAGCAGATGGTACTAGTTTGAATATCTAATGTATATCTTTGGTAGCTATTTGGTGGACACGGATGTGTGGACAACACGTAAATATCTAATGGATATCTTTGATAGCTATTTGGTGGACATGGATATGTGGATAATGCATGCATATCCATTAGATATCCTCGTTAGTTATGCGGGAGATATAGACATTGTATAGATCTATTAGATATCTATATGTTATCCATAGTAGATAAGGATATCATATGGATATGTAGATATCTATTAGATATCTATTAGATATTTTGTTCTGTGTGGGTAGGCGGGTATCTCACAAATTCGACCACCGAGGCATGTGGTAATATTTATCGCAATAAACAGTCTAAAGATATTATCGTAACATAAGTTTAGACTGTTTATTACGATAAATATTAGCGCATTTCTCGGTGGTCAAATTGGTGAAACGCCCGCCAAATGAGAGGGAAGTGCAGGTTCAAACCTTGGCTTAGGTCCATTTTTCGCAATAAATTTAAAAATTAAAATCTTCTAGATACTATAATGCTGTCTTGGCTCTTATATCCTTTATTACCTCGTATTTCGATTTCACGTCAAAACCTTATGAATTTTATTTGTATTATAAAAGGTTAGGTTAATAAAAACGGTACGCACGCACGCATGCACGCACATACATTTTTAGTAAATATCCGAATTATAATACAAATTTTATTTTTATTTAAAAATTGTATAAACATATCAAACTGCCATTAATACATTTCTTTATTTTCTTAGAAATTCTTGTCAATTTTTCATAGAATGCTACACTATAAGCTATACTAGCATAATATTAAAAAAACATTACTTACGTGATAATTCTGTATTCCAATAATTGTATATTTCCAACAAACCCATTGTAGAAGAAATACAAGTAGTTTCTCAAGTAGCCTATATATAAGTAGTATAAAATATGGAAAATATAGAATATTCCTTAATTGTGAACTTACTTTATTTTACTTATGATACTTATACGTATCAATGGTTACCTGTGTACCTTCGAAACGTTAGACCGATTCTGTCCCGTATACAATGTCTGTACTCTATCAATATAACGGTTTTGCTGAATTTAAATTGATGTTAAGTTGACATTCTATTCAAAATTCATCCTGCATTACTATATGTATATGTATATAGAATAAATTTTGAATTGAATATCAACTTAATATAAATTTAAATTCAGCAAAACCGTTTAATTGATTAATTATATAATACTTCATAATAAAATGAATTGCTATTAAGTTGCATACACTACGAAGTTGCTTATACAGGATGTTAAATTAGTTTGGGACCATTCCAAAAATTATGGTAGATTGGATCAAAGCAAGAAGAAAAGTTATATATTTTGCAGAATTCGTAATAATTATCGTATAATTAAGAAGAACGTCTGAGCGAATAGGCGCACGGAGGAGCGGAAGGCCGGACTCGGTAGACATGCAAAATGGTGTATTTGTTGACATGTCTTATTGTTAGGATCCGATAACGAGAGGTGGAGTCACGCATCGATCGATGATTGACTACGGAGCGGTGGCAGGGGGCGGCGAGCGGCGCGCGGATAGCTCTCGCTATCAGATCCTGAGACATGTCAACAAATACACCACGCATGCACAAAAGAAAGAGCGAGTTTAATAGTTGTAAGGAAGGAGGAAAAACGCAGTTAACATTTGGTTTAACAGTGCCAAGATTTTTTAATAAACTATAATGTCGTGAAGACCGATATATTAAAAAAAAAGAGTTTAACAATTTCAAGGAAGGAGGAAAAGCGCAATTAACATTTGGTTTAGCAGCGCCGAGTTTTTTAAATAAACAATAATGTCGTGAAGCAAGACCGATATGTATCCAACAATTAAATTAGAAAAGGCTATCGTTTAATAAATTATTTATTTGTATTAAATTTGTTTCATTATATTTTCATTAAATAAGTGTTGAAAATTTGTCTCGTTATATTATTATTTCCTTTATTTATTCCGATGAAATTTTATGTTCGATTGTTTGGATATAACATTGTAATATCTGTGACATCGACTTCGATGCAGAAATTGAAGATAAAGACGAGGTTACGCTTCTTTTTCTCGCGCAACGAATGTTGAGAATAAGACATACAATGTACCTAATTAAGATCATGCATATTATATATTGTTATATAATAATACATGTTATGTATTAAAGAGTGAAATATATACATGTTATATATTGAAAATTTGCGATAATTTTTTTATTACCTCGGCTCTTCATATTATCTGCGGTAAAGCATTTAGAAACAGTACGCGTAAGGTGTGTAGAAACAACACACCATAGACGTATTGAATAATACACTTTAGGTGTATTCCGTACTTACACACGTTAAAAGGTGTAAAATATGTCTACAGAGAGTAACGCACGTAAAACCTATTAAAACAACACACTTGTTTTTGCAGTGTAGTTTGTATAAATATTCATTTTAGTTGACGCCATTTGATGATATTACTTTTGTAGAGAAGACACTTTTGTAGAGAAAATAAAAATGTTTTTTTCTAATAAATCAGAATTAAAGTGACGTGCAACTCTGTGTAGTGAATAATCAATAGGCCTCTAGGTCAATTCAAAACAATGGAAAATAACTTTCAATATTTAAAGTACATAGTATCATGGAAATAAATGTAAGTTAATACGACCTAACCGTTTCTTTGCAGGCTAGCTCGCACGTGGCCGGATTCGAGGTTTCGATTCAGAGACACTGCACACGGATCTTTAGGTTTACAACATTGTGTTTATTTATATAACACAAGATAAGAGCTATTTACAACTGATGATGATAAAGATGATCTGGGTCACTATAGGCGAGTTAAATTGCGCACAGAATCTACCTATTTTCTAATAATGACGTGTAATTGGGATGACGATGGCCAGGAAAAAGAGAGAGAGTCTCTCCAAACTCTTGGAGACCCGGTTGATATGAAATCCTTTGAGGGTGAAGTTTGGACATAGCATAGTGGGCCAATTCCCGAAAAGAGCGGACATAAATCCAAAATTAGTTTGATTGAAACAAAAAATGGTATATAAGGGTTTTCAAGGTCGCTAATTATGATTTTGATATTGTTTTTCTCAAAATTCAAAATGGCGGATCCGAAATGACTGACTTTTAAATAAAAAATATAACGTATATTTGTTGTTCTTCACTTTATTTACACCCAGCAAACACAAAGTAACAGTTACATAAATGTAAGTTAAAATTTCTTACTCAACAATATAACTGTTACATAACACACGTGTTATACAGGGTGTCGGATTCGATTTGGACGATCCAAAGATTATAGTAGATTGGGTCAAACTGAGAAGAAAAGTTATATACCATTTTACAAAATCCGTAATTATTATCGCGTAATTAAGAAAAACGTCTTAGCCAATAAGTGCACGGAGGAGCGGAAGGCCGGACTCGGCAGACATGCAAAATGGTGTATTTGTTGACATCTCTCAAGATCCGATAGCGAGAGGTGGAGTCACGCATCGATCGACGAGAGACGGGGGCGAGCGGGGAGCGGTGAGCGGGCGAACGACGCGCAGCGAGCGAACGCGCGACATATGACCACAGATATCTATACTATATACTAGATCGCTAACTCCCGTCAAATACATGGTCCCAAAATCTATGTACTGAATTCTTGCGCATGCGCAACGTTGGTAGACAGCAGTCGCGTTTTCATTGGTTAATGTTATGTACGATCATGGTCAGGAAGGTTGGCCGACGTTTTGCTATAACCTCTTGCGCGAGAAACTAGCTAGGAAATAAGTAAATAATTCTAGAGCTTGACTCTTGAATCATTTGCAAAAGAAACGTACGCTAAAATTCTGTCCTCACAAAGGAATTGAAAGTCGAACGGATATTTGCATGGCTTTTATTTAATCGACTTGCAATTCCTCTGTAAGAGTAGAGTTCTCACGTATGTGTTCCATGAGAACGATTCAAGAATCGAACTCCCGAACGGAATACATTATAAGAATTTCCAATAATACGTACTTAAATCTCGATCCAGCCTACGAGGTTATCTGTCATATTGTGCTGGCGCTTTCTACATCAACGTTACGGCGTTACGCATGCGCTTTCTACCAACGTTACGCATGCGCGACCGCCATATTACATAGTTTTCGGGGACACATTTTATGTACAAAATCAGTAGGAGTTAGCGATCTAGTTATAGTATAGATATCTGTGCATATGACACTGCGCCGAAAAAGTTTTTCTGGTGGTAGGAGAATAATACACCATTATTCTCCTACCACCATCAGTTGTAAATAGCTCTTATCTTGTGTTATATAAATAAACACAATGTTGTAAACCTAAAGATCCGTGTGCAGTGTCTCTGAATCGAAACCTCGAATCCGGCCACGTGCGAGCTAGCCCGCAAAGAAACGGTTAGGTCGTATTAACTTACATTTATTTCCATGATACTATATGTACCTTAAATATTGAAAGTTATTTTGCATTGTTTTGAATTGACCTAGAGGCCTATTGATTATTCACTACACAGAGTTGCACGTCACTTTAATTCTGATTTATTAGAAAAAACATTTTTATTTCTCTACAAAAGTATCTTCTCTACAAAAGTAATATCATCAAATAGCGTCAACTAAAATGAATATTTATACAAACTACACTGCAAAAACAAGTGTGTTGTTTTAATAGGTTTTACGTGCGTTACTCTCTGTAGACATATTTTACACCTTTTAACGTGTGTAAGTACGGAATACACCTAAAGTGTATTATTCAATACGTCTATGGTGTGTTGTTTCTACACACCTTACGCGTACTGTTTCTAAATGCTTTACCGCAGATAATATGAAGAGCCGAGGTAATAAAAAAATTATCGCAAATTTTCAATATATAACATGTATATATTTCACTCTTTAATATATAACATGTATTAATATATAACAATATATTAAATGCATGATCTTAATTAGGTACATTGTACGTCTTATTCTCAACATTCGTTGCGCGAGAAAAAGAAGCGTAACCTCGTCTTTATCTTCAATTTCTGCATCGAAGTCGATGTCACAGATATTACAATGTTATATCCAAACAATCGAACATAAAATTTTATCGGAAGAAATAAAGGAAATAATAATATAACGAGACAAATTTTCAACACTTATTTAATGAAAATATAATGAAACAAATTTCATACAAATAAATAATTTATTAAACGATAGCCTTTTCTAATTTAATTGTTGGATACATATCGGTCTTGCTTCACGACATTATTGTTTATTTAAAAAACTCGGCGCTGCTAAACCAAATGTTAATTGCGCTTTTCCTCCTTCCTTGAAAGTGTTAAACTATTTTTTTTAATATATCGGTCTTCACGACATTATAGTTTGAAACGGTCTAACCGTGTTCCCCGCGGACTTTGCTCGCCGGTGCCTGGGTCGAGGGGTTAGCGAAGAGACTGACTCGAGACCGTTTGGAAGTGACAACAAATAAACGTATATTTGAGAATCCGAAGAGTGTACAAAATGTGAATCCGAAGAGTGTACAAAGTGTGAAGACGTGATCCGGGGTACGGACGATAACGGCGGACGCGGTGAC